CCCGACTGTGGGATACAGGCGGGGGCTGGGGGACAGCTACCTGTTGGGGCTTCAGTCATTCGGGCCGAGCTCCCCGCACCCGGGCTGCTGCCAGGCGTGTGGCTGGGCCCCTCCGTCCAGGACGGTCACTTCATTGCTCTATCCACCGAGCCAAACCGGCTATGGCTCATTGGCAGCTTTGACGGAGCCCCGGTGTGTGCAGCTCGGCCAGGAGAGGGTGACGGGGCTGGTGGGCAGGGTTCTTCGGGAACCCAGCCTCGCGGAGAACCAGCGGGCACTGACTCTGCGTCGAGAGCCCCTTGGGCAGACGGGCCACCAGGTGTCAGGGAGGCCCGGGGGTCCTCAGAGGGTCCCCCTCCCGAGGGAGCCGCCTGCACTGGGTGCAGCCTGGAGGCCGGGTCTGTGCAGCCCTGGGCACGTGCCGGTGGGACTCGCAGGACGTCCCGGGCCCGGTGCGGGGCCGCTCTGCCATGGAGCCTTCAGCTCCTCCTGGCATCCTGGGGGGCCTCCTCGGTGGAGGAGGAAGCGGGGGTTCGGCTGAGAGGTCCTGGTACACTGGCAGGTAAGGGGGGTCGGGGCGGGGTCCCCAGAGTTTCCGCCAAGTCTCAGGATTGACCCCTCTGACCCCTATTCTGGGATCGAGGGGCAGAGGCCACAACCTATGACCCGAGTCTGGGCAGTCACCAGCTTTGTCCTGGGCCAGGGGACGGGGCAAGGCTCCAGAACAGTCTGTCCCAACTGCCCTCAAGTCCATCCCTCGGGGGGTCCGGCACCAGGTGGGCCCTTCCTGAGCCCTGGCCCCCCCTGGGGCGGCTGAGGGGCCTGGCGTGGAGTGGGGTTGGTCCATCTGGGTGCCTGCAGGGTCCAGCCTGGGGGAAGCCCCGGAGGCCTCAGATGGGGGTGTCTGGACCCAGCGAACACCCAGTGCCCCCCCCAGAGTCCCCAGGCCCCATTGGGGCGAGTGTCCGGGGGCTGCAGCCACAGACTGGGCGGAGAGCAGACCCTTACCCGGCCGCTGAGTGTGGGCAGAGCTGGGCCCCGGGGGGCTTGGGGAGGACCTTCTGAGGCCCCAGCTCCTGGTGGCCCCCATTCCTCCGTGTCCCCCAGCAGGTCAGGGCTCCTCTCCCTGTGTCTGTGTGCCTCTCCGCTCGGCCTCCTCAGGAGCCCTCGTCCTGGGGTGCAGCCTGCCCTCCCCCAGGTCACCTCGTCCGGTTCTTGTCGTAGTCACACCTGAGGGGAACAGGTGGGCGATCTCTTGTGGGGCCACCGGTCAGCCCACAGCCACGCTGACCCACTCTGTCTGGGCTCCTCACAGGCATCGGCAGAGGGCCAGATGTCGCCCCAGGCCTCAGTGACGGGGAGCCCCCGCCCCCACCCGCTGTGCCCCGGCTCCCTTGCCCCCCAGTGACACGTGTTGCCTCCTCACACCTCTGCCCACTTCACAACCTGGACGCAGAGCAGGTTCTGATGTGACACCTTGGGGGTGGGGGGGATGGGGAGGAGCCGCCTGCCTCTCCTGGGCCTCCTCCTAACGAGCTGCTAGAAATGCCTGTGGGCACATTGCTTGGTGCTCAGTTGCAAGGGACGTAAAATCAATCCCCAGAAAGGGGGTCCCTGAGCCGGGGGTTGCTGCCTGTTAGATTCTGGCGGCGATAGTCCTACTGTGACGGGTGAGGTCAGGTTCCCGCTGATGCACCGGAGCCCCAGGCTCTGGGCCCCCTCCTCTCTGCTGCTCCTGCATTTCCTCCGGCCACGGGGGTGCCCTGTCTTAAAGGGGGCCCTCCAGCCTGAGGCTGAGCCACCCCAGCGGGTCTGCCCACGCTGCGAGCCCATGAGGGATGTGAGGGATCGGGCCTGAGTCTGGCCAGACGCGTCCACAGGCTCCCGGCCGGGACTTGGCCTCAGTGTCCCCGTGTGAGACGAGGATCAGACAGACACCGACTAGGCTCACGCTTCAGGGAGCATCGACTGGGTGCCTACTGCGCGCCAGGCACCCTCCCAGCCTGCGGGACCCTTGGGAAACAGCCTGGCGCACAGGGGGCAGGGGCTTCCGGAAACACTGGCTCTTCCCCCGCTTTTCTTAACTGCACAGCATAGCTCCCGGCCCCCACGGAGGAGTCCATTACAAGCTGGCTGTCGCCTCGAGGTCATGACCCCGCAGGGCCACTGGCCGAGGCTGCGGGCAGGGGGTGGGGCCGCCCCTTTTACTGCTGAGTGGTTCCATCTAGTCGAGTGGAAAGTGGACTTGCTGGTGATAAAGCCGCTATTGTCCGGGGCCCTGGAAGCTGCTAATGAGTAACTGTGTGTGGCCCTGGCTCCAGCCTGTAAAAGGCTTGTTTATGCGACAAGAACAGGGTGCAGTTTTCCTCCTGCAGTTGCCAGGGGGTCCAGAGCGCCGGCCGATCAGGGCCCAGGCGACGGGATGGGTGTCCCCGTGGACCCACTCACACGGGTGCCCGCTCTGTGCCGCCCCTCCCCGCCTAAAGCAGGTGCGGCCACGGGCACCTGATCCAGCGGCGGCCACTGGGGAGGGACCCGGCAAGGTGGGGGCCCCCTGGGGTGGGAGGAGCTGGCCCTGGGCCGGGGCTGTGGGGCCCATTGGCAGGCAGCTGCCTGGGAGCCTGTGTTTGGAGGTGGCTGCTCCTGACCCTGAAGGAGGGGAGGTGCTGGGTCCGGGCGGGGCTCTGGGGGTAAGAACCGAGGACCCTGGTGCTGGCTGGTAACCACATGCCGGCCCTGCGGGAGGCCGGGACCCCTACCCCAGCCCTCGGTGAAAAGTGGAGGCACTGAGTGGGGTGCCCAGCATTCAGGACTGGGGGAGGGCTGGGGTCTCCACTGAGCCTCTCACTGTTGTCCTTGTTGCCACAGCAACAAGGAATGACGGCCGGGGGCTTGCCTCTTCAGGATGCCCTTGTTCCCACAAAACCCCCAATGCTGTCGAAACAGGGTCCTGGCCGGAGTCACAGCTCCGGGGAGGCCATTAGGGGGTGGGCCCTACGCCAGCGATTAGCGGGAAATCCGGACACGGACACGCCCACAGGGAGAGGCCGGAGCAGGTGGAGGCAGAGATCAGGTGATGGGTCTACATCCCAGGAACCCCAAGGACTGCCCGCAGCCCCTGGAAAGGAGGGGAGCCGGGCGGCAGCTCAGCAGCTGAGCGTTGACCTATGAACCGGGAGGTCACGGTGTGACTCCCGGTCGGGGCACAGGCCCAGGTTGCAGCTCGATCCTCGGTTCCATCTGTGATTCTCTCTCATCACTGTTTTTCTCTTTCTCTTCCTCTCCAAAATCAATACACATATATTAAAGATAAAAATGTATTTTAAGTGAATAAGATAAAATTTTATTTAAAAGATTAAGAATTGGGGAGAGGCACCGCGCAGAAGGAGCCAGCCTCGGCACCTCCGGGTGCAGATTGACTCTGTCGTCCTGAGCCGCCCGGAAGCTCATCACTCCCGTCACTGCCTTTCTGGCCGGGTGAGCGGCAGTCAGGCCTGGCGGCCCTCACACCACGTCCTGCCGGCTGGGTGGGCTCCGTGTGCTCAGTGGGCTGG